AACGTGACGGACAGGTAAACCGCTGTACGGTTCAAATTGATGGCCGGGGGAATAACGACAACAGAAAATATGCTGTAGCGTGACGTGGTGAGTTTTTTTTCTGACTTTAACGCTTTGTGGCTGAAGTATGGGGCCGTTGTAGCCGGTGAAGCGGAGACTGGAGGTTTGTGTCTGGTTTTGTCTGCCCTCCGTCCCCACCGGTGGACAAAGCTGAAGATACTGGAGACACCGACGGAGACAGGGCTGTTTTTGTGTCGGCTGTTTTGTCGGCGACATGGCAGCGGCCATCGCCAGCGGTTTGATCCGGCAGAAGCGACAGGCGAGAGAGCAGCACCCCCACCGACCGACTGCCCACCGGCGGCGGAAGAGCCCCGGTAAGAAGCAGGGTCTGTGCAACGGAAACCTGGTCGACATCTTCTCCAAAGTCCGGATATTTGGCTTAAAGAAGAGGAGGCTACGGAGACAAGGTGTGGAGGGAAATGGGGGCAGACACACGCGCACATGCACGCACACAGACAAACACACGCACGCAAATATATTGACATGCATATGCGCGCCATTCCACATCCATGTAGAAAACACACGCATTGACTTTTAGGCGCGACCACTTTCATCCACAGCCACCTTCACACGGCCTGCCTCGTGCACGCAGGTAGACTGCGCGCGCTCACACACGCACACACCCCAGTCATGCATAAACACGGACTGACAGAGTTGTCCCTCTCTGTCCTCTGTGGTGACACACACACACACACCGTCATGTCTTCTAGTGCCCTATAGTTCAGTAGTTTCCAGGTACATCCATTACTGAAGCCACAGATGAGTCTAGTCTCTATGTGCATCTCTACCTCGCCCTCTCATTTACAGCTCCTCGTTCAAAGTGCTCCATCACCAAGATCAGACTTTGTCTTAACATTAGCAAAATGGCAGACAAAAACACAATGGCAGCAACAAAATTAACACCTCTTATTTTGAAATTATACTTTGCTCTGTGCTATTCAGAATTTTTTTTATTTAGACAAACAGGTTTTTGTTCATGTGGAGGTCCAAAAGTCTAAATCAGAAATTTCCACCATTCAGATTTCAAGTCCCACTCAAATCCAAATCACCATCATTGTTGAATCACGAGATAGATCTTGCTGTCAATGCACAGTGAAGTAACTAGATGTGGAGGTGAATGCAGATTACAGGGAATGTTATGACTGTGTGTTGTGGTGAGTGTTCAGTAGCAGAGGCATTAAGCGCTGCTCTAATCAATTGATTGTGTGAGAAACCATCAAGTGACGGTGTACAGAGGGAGGGAGGAACAAATAAAGGGTAGGTGAATGTGAGAACTCATGTTGATATGATTTGGTTTTCCTAACTTTGGTCTGGAGGTTGGTGGGGAATTGGTGGGATTTGAGGTTTTTTCTCCTCTTGCCCTCCTTTTTTTGTCACCTTTTCTCCCTGTGTAGCTTCAGTCCTCTTTTATCCCTGTTGTTTACTTTTTTGTCTCCCCACACCGCCTTTCTTCCTTATGTCCTTATTCTCCTTCCACCCTTCAAAAACAATTCCCTCTCCTCTTATCCATTTATTCCTCCCCTTTTCTTCCTATTTGTGTCACCTTTCTGTCTACCTTAGATGTTTTCATTCCTTCTACCAGCTTTGTTCAACTGTTCTTCCATTTGATTTTTATTTACTCGTACCTTCCTATTTCTTTTTTGTCACATTCTCTAGCTGCTGTGGATTTTTATTCCTGCCTTCTTTACTTTCCCACCTTTTGTCACCATTCCTGCACATTTCTTCTGCTCCTCCTCCATCTCCTTTTGGCCCTTCACCCTAATACCTTTCTAATATCACCCAGCCTTTCCTTCTTGCAGACTTTAGATATTTTCATTCCTTTTTCCAGTCTTGTGCCTTTTTCATTTTGAGGGGCAGTAGATGATGACACCCTTCTCTTTCATTCTCTTCCTCACACATTGTCCTTGTTCCCCTGGAATTTTTTCTTCTTCCATTTTCTCTTTGTTGTCACCTCTTTCTCCTCACATTCAGTCCTCTTTTCATCCCTTCTTCCAGCTTAATTTTGTGTTCCCTTTCACCCCTCTTTCACCTTCCACTCTTACCTCATCTTCCCCCGCATCTACCACTTTTCTTCCTCTCCATCCCAAACTTCTCTCCCTACTTTAGATCATTTCATCTATTCTTCCAGCTTCAAATTTTCTTCCTCCTTTCCATTTTTCCTTCACTTACTCTTCTTTCTCATTGTCTCAGTCTGTCTTAACTTAATTACATCTGCATTTTTATGCCTCCCTTCTCCCCTTTCTCCTCCTGCTCCTTGGTTGATTCTCCTTCTCTCCACCCAATCCTCTTCACATATTTAGATCTTTTCATCCCTCCTTCCAGCTTCATTTGACTTTTTTCCCATCCTTCTTCCCTTCTTCATCTTTTCCCTCCTGCCATCTCTCTCTCTCTGTGTTCCAGCTGTGAGAGCTGCTGGTGAAAGCTTGGCAACGTCCACAACGTCTGTGTGTGTGTGTGTGAGAGAGAGAGAGAGAGACAGAGCTTTGGCGAAATCCTCTACTGTCTTCCCAGAGGTTCTGTGAAGGAGAGACAGAGAAACTCATCTTTGACTGATCTCCAGCGTTCGTTACTCAGTCAAAGATGTGATGTGATCAGCTAGCGTTAGACTGAAATGGAGGCAAGATGAGCTTTTTATTAAAACATGATGGAGGCTCCTCTTGCCCACAGCTACAAATACATTTATAAATTGATTTATAAGTTGACACACCATAGATGAAATGCTGAAGATAAGACAGTAATTAACATTTCCTGCAGTTTCCTCACACCAACAAGGGCAGAGAAACTGAAATGTGAAATGTGTCTTTCGGCATCGGGCAATGTTTTCTGATTTCTTTTTTGTTCTGACAGACGGATGCTGTTATTTTGAACCATAAATCAGCAAGAAATGTCACAGCTATCAGCTGGAATTATATTTATTCAATGCATGAGAACAGAGAATACTTTTCCAAGTTTACTGAGCCGCACAAAACCCTAAACCACAATTACTGTAAGAGTCTGTCCTAGGAAGGCAGTCAGGAGAGTTCAAGCATCTCTAGGTCTTATTTTTAATTGAGGCTAACTAGGAGCACAAATTGACTGCTGGTTAGGTGAAGTAGCTGCAGAGGGAGCTGAACCACAAAACTCTCAATCTGCTAGTTTGTTTATATTGTGTCCCATCCTCATCCATTGTCATGAACTCTGGGTAGTGACCGAGAAGATGAGGTTATGGATATGCCAAAATGAGGATTCAGTGTGGAGGTGAGGAGTCTGGTGATGCAACAGGACCCTAAAAGTCCAGTTGCTGCTCATTCACATTGATAGAAAGAAGTTCATTTTTTCAGGCACCTGGTATTTGAAATTTGTCCAAAGAAAATACTGCATGAAATTGAGAAAAGTATATTATTTATGCCTGCAAATATGTGATCTAAGAAGTAAAACTCTGAGTCCATGTTTCCCCAGGTTTACTCAGCTGGCCTCTGATGACCAGCAGATTCCCCAGTAGGAGCAAGAGGAAGGCTCAATAAAAAGACATCTGTGTTGTTGCTAACCTGACCCAAACACACAGCTAGAAAAATGGTTGGATGAAATGTCAGTGGTTTCCTGCAAATTATAAAGCCAATACCAATATTTTTTTTACATTAATACTGTTGTTCTTGATTAATATATTTCAGTGTAAGGTAGCTCCTCAATTCTGCAATCTGTCCTTGGTGTTCCCTGCTGCCTTTCAGCCAGTGCGCAACAATAAGCAGATATGGATAATCAATAATTGACATTGGTGTTTCCCTAAGAATCATATTAATGCTGGAAAAGCCTCTGAAAAAGTAAGAGGACAATACAGAATTAATGTGTGGTGCAGGCCTGTATAAACTCTGAACATAATGTCTCATTAGGACAAATTCAGGTTAAGGACTTGTATTATTTAGTAGGGCAGTGAAGGTCATTTACTGTAGCTGGACCATCTGAGCCGTTTACCAGTGTCTGTACTTTAATAAGAAATCTGACCTTTCCTCTAATCACTAATCACTGTAATCTAAATAAGGATGAAATGGGTGCACCCGGTTGCTGCTTAGCATTCTTCACTTGGCTGCTTTTGTTTGGTAAGATGGTGTGTGTGTGTGTGTGTGTGTATGTGTGTGTGTGAAAGAGAGAGAAACACAGAAGGTGTTTGATACATCGCTTGTATCAGACACCCACGATGATATTTTATACCATGTTATATACACTGTATTTAGACTCAGACGGTGTCGAATTAACCAACAATATGACTTGTCAAATCAGTTTGACCGCCTTATGGGCTGACTGACTGAATCGGATCACATTGTGGTGAAAATTTAGCTGTGTGTGTGCATGTGTGTGTGTATGGGGGAATACCCTTGCACTGGAATAGTCTGGAATCACGAGACTGTTGCCATGACAACGCAAGAATGGGAATTTCCCTAGTAACAGAATGGATGCAGAGGTACTGGGAAGTGTGGGAATATCACCTTGACGACTGTGGGAATGTTACTGTGGCAACGGTTGGCTGCTTCAGACTGGAGTGTGAGTAAATGTATAAGTGGATGTTAGATCAGGCAATAGACACATAAATAGATGATGAGTTGATGCGGCAGGACGGTCCCCTGTGGAGAATTATTGATTTTTCATCCATTACAGCAGGTTATGCAAACACTATTACAGACTGTCATAGTACTTATAACGGCATAATAAATACATCAAGATAAATGATGTCACGGATGATAAAAGTAATAGTTTCTTAAAAGACCTTTGGTTCATTGATTTTCTTCTTCCTGCTCTTTGTCGGTCATTGAGTGTGTACAGGGAAATAAAATGTTATGTTTTTTATTTACTATGTACAATATAGTTAAGCATGTGCATTGACATGATCAAAATAAAATACTAATACAAAATATAGTCTGACCAGTTAAAGATTCTAGGCTGGACTGTGAGTTGGCTGACTGCTTAAATGTCAGATTAAATGTGATTAGTTGTTTTAGATATCTGTTTATTCATGTGGGATTCATTTAAATTTGAATCAATCGGGGTTGACACAAGATAATTGGTATTGGTAATTTGGCATATTTTTGAGTTGGAGCTCCAAGTCAAAATACACATAATAAGATACAGAATATACATTGTAAATATTAATGTTTACTTTATAAATGTGTAAGAAATCAAGTACAAAACTAGAGGTTTGATTCAAAGTGAGTGAATATCAGAAAGATAGAAAGGTGCAGTACACGATAACATGTTAAATTGTGTGACCAGTCACTCAGAGAGAGAATGTACGGTGGTCACACAAGAAAAAAGTCTGATTAAGAGAGAATGTATGGAAATTTATCCTGGTTGGTGTGGAGGCTTAATATAGATTTAGAAATGTTTTAGGTGTTTTGACAGATAGATAGATATATATTCATTCACGCAGAGCTGATGTGACACTTGAGGTCCAAGATTGACACCACAGAGCCATCCCCCCTGTTTCTTACTTTGAGAAAACTAAATGTTTTCTACAAAACCTTCTTTTTACAGTAAATTGCAGGGCCTTGAAAGTTCCCAGTTGGCTGAGTCACACCAGCCAGGAGAGATGATATTGCATGCTGCCACTAAAATGCACCTGCTGTAATATATTTATATCAGACAGGGTTTTAAGCCAATAAAAAGACAGATGTACCAATGCAAAGCCAGTCTGGTAGGTACACTCTAGGTCTAATCAATAATTTTTAAAACAGAAAAATACATTTTACATAATCCTTTAGAAATTAATAAGCCACAGATGTGAAACACAACACATTTTTCAAAAACATGAGACACTTAACATTTCCAGCCAATTCCTCAGACCGTGTGTCACACACGTGCCTGACTTCAGTTTGTGCAGCGGCCAGTGCCTTCTCATTTCTGTTCTGTCCTGACAGATGCATGCTGGGCAGGTAAATGGTCATTTTGAACCATGAAGTAATGCAGCAAGAAATGCCACAGTTGTCAGTTGGAATAATATTTAATACATGAAAACATGGACTGCGCTGTTTTGTACTTGTAGGAAATAAAAATTCACTTACATTGAGGAGTATGTTTGTGTATCCACCAGAGTCTTTGTTCAAAATTGTTCTTAATTTACAAGAATATTCTGGTTTCCAATAACCTGCTCCTATTGGTGGGAAATCACTGCCACCAAATGTAGCAGCTGTCTTTCTAACTAAGATTTATTATTGACAGAAACACACAGCATGCACAGGTAATGTGCTGGGATTTTTGTCAGCTTGATTGCTGGTTACAAGCTCCGCAGCTCCTCTTCCCTCCTTCTCCCCTGCTGCACAAGATGGATCCTTCACAAAGATGGAAACACCCTTGCCTCTCTCTCTCTCTCTCTCTCTCTCTCTCTCTCTCTCACACACACACACACACACACACACACACACACACACACACACACTTCATAAACTAGGTCGCTCTTGGCTTTTTCTCCTATGTGCATTAGGATACATCTTTACACTTTCCCTCTCTGTCTCACACACATGTTTAAAGGGAATTCCTACCCTGCTTATAGTTGCGAATGCAAGGTCACTGATGTGTTTTTTATAGAAGGATAATGGGTGTGGTCACATTTAAGTGTGTATGAGGAGCCTTATTAAGTAATCAATGTCACCACCCAGTGTATGTGGGTGTGTGTGTGTGTGGAAAACGTGTGCCATCTACAGCAGAATGTGTGATGAGAGTAATGGAATAAAGCATGTTTGTTATATCACCTAAGACAGGTCTAGTGTCCTTCTCTCAGTCTCTTTATCCAGTGACTCAGCCAGTCGTTGTCCCACAGCTCCTTGCCATCTCTTTTCTTTCTTTCATTTCAAGCAGCTTGAGTTTTACTCACTTTGTTTTATTTCAGCCATTTTGTGTTTGATTGCAAGACCCAAGCAGCAAGAGCAAGTGAATGCTGTTAAAGTGTAGAGAGATGAAATAGCTAAGATCCATGGATGGATTATGAGATAATGGGGCCCTGGGCACAGACATGTAAAAGGCCCCCACCTTTCTTACTCTTCTAGCAGCAAGACTGTCAGTGTTATAGTTAGTTTGTGACTCTTTTTAGCTATTTTGTGGTTATTTGTACTTGTTTTTCATCAGTTTTTACTTGTCTTAATTTTTTATTTTACATCTTCTTGTCACTTTGTATATTTTTGTAGTCATTTAGCTGTCTTTCCTTTCTCCTTTTAGTCATTTTGTGTCTCTTTTTAGTGGATTTTTAAGTCTTTGTTGTTGATTTGCATCTATATTTTTTGTATTTTGTGGTCATTTGATTGACTTTCCTTCACAGTTTTCTTATTTATGGCCCCCCTGGCCCCTGGGCCTGTGTCTGGTAGGCTCATTCAGTAATCCATTCATACCAAGAGCACCCGCATTTGATAATTAAAATAAAATAATGTCTATAATTGGCATAATAATGACGTACTTCTGTTTGCAGATTTAGATTTGTAATTACATAAACATCAGCATTTCAACCATGTTGGATTTAACAAAGTCCAATGATTTAAGTCAATAGTAGGTATTTTTGAGTGTGTCTTAAAACATTACAAATTTTAATGGGGAGACATAATTAAAAAACTCATAATTATCTTTATGCAAGTTTTGATAAAGGGAATCATGTCTACAAACCAATACAACATATTGGTCAATAGATAAATAATAAACAGAATATGTAAGCTACAGAGCCACTATTTTACTGTTCTTTACTCTCAAAGGTTCAGAAATAATTTATCAGTGTTATTCAAGTGGAACATTGGCCACAAAGGAGGGATTAGTCCAAGAATTCTGTAAAGGATTGGATGTGCATGACCAGTCTGTCCGCAGGAAATCCCTCAGGATGAAGCAGGTCATATTGTTCTTCTTTAATGTTGGTTTTTTACCTCAGATGTGCCTTCTAGCGTGTGTGCAGAAACTGAATTGTGGGAGAATTTGTACCTAAATCATTTACAAATCATTCTGTTGAAGCTGACGACACTTATTTGAAGTTTAGCTTAATTTTGTTTTCATATGCCTATTCTAGTTTAAGGGCCTTGATGGCTGTAGTGATATATTTATATATTTTTTCTTCTTGCCCCTTTTGTTTGTAGAACCACAGCTGAAGGGCATAGTGACCAGATTGTTCTGCAGGCAAGGCTTCTATCTCCAGATGGGCCAGGATGGAAGTCTGGACGGGACCAAAGACGACAGCACCAACTCCTGTTAGTAGACACACCACACCGCACACACAAATACAACATCCAGTATCAGCCTTTGTGTACCCTTTTTTCACCCTTATCCAGGCATCAATTACATTTTCATCAAAGTGTATTATTTGTTGTGTATCAGTTCTTATTTCCAGAGGCCTGCTGACTTTCTCTCCTGCTGCAGGAGCTAGTCGATTACATGTGCCAGCATACTCACTTATGTAAAAGTATGTGTAAAACACTTGTTCAGCCATCTCTTTGAAGAATAGCATTATGAGTTTCTTGACTGTGCATCAATTTAAGACACAATATCTCAAAGTAAAAGACCACATAGAAAAATGAAAAGCAGTACTCGAAGCAACAGTGTGTGAACAGAGTGTTGCAGTCCAAAACCAAAGGTTCATCACAACAAAGTAACGGCAGACAGGATAGCTCTTTACGATGATGTGTCAGTGTCTCAGTCCTCCTCTGATTTGAAGACGTTTGAGAGAGACTTGCTCTCTCTTTGTGGAAAGTTGAGACCAGCAGGAGTGAACTGGACCAGGTGATCCACTGGATTCTAGTTAGTCTAAAAATGGTTAAAAAGCTAAAGAAATTCATATACAAAGTATCAAACATATTGATCTAAATGACTGACAGTTACTTTTAATGTTGTTTTTTTTATTTCCAGTATAGGCAACCAAACATCCAGAGCACAGTAACATAGTGGCTCTGTTTGGGGCATTTCATGCTCTGAGGTTTTTGCTTGTAAGACCTATTTTATTGCAACTCTGCACCCAAAACAGCCTTCAGGGAGGAGCTGCAGATGAATGACTTATTGATACATGTAGCTTTTGCTATATTGTTGGATAAAATCAAATAAAATCTGTAATCAGTACAGCAGGCAGTTCACTGGTCCAAAGTATCCTTTCCACATTGGCTGAGCTGGTTCCCCGCTGGCATCCGCCTGTTACAGCAACGTCCCACTTGTTTACTATAATTTCTTTTTTTTCTTTTCTTTTTTTTTTTTTTTTTGGCGAATGTTTTCGCATCAATTTCTGGCAAATGCCTTCATGTCGCCATTTTTTCATTTCTGAATCTCAGCGCTCGGATCCGACAGAATTTACTGCAGCTCACACTTGTTCCCGAGCTTCATTTCTTCATTTGTTTGTCAGTCTGTCTGCCTGACTCATATTCAGCAGTGGGGAGACATCAGTGACATTTCCTGCAGGATTTACAAAGACAGTTGTTTCTGTCTCTAATCAGCTGCGTGATTATCTCTATGTTAATGAAGCCTGTGCATGACTGTGATGGTTGTTTAGAAAGTGTGATATTTAACGAGGAGGATTACTCGCAGGTGTACTTAAGCATATATAATAAATTCCTTCTACTCCAATGTGAACAGTGTAAATGTTGGTTGTTAGAAAGATATAACAACCATTTCTACACAACCCTGAATAATGAGGGCTCTGATACCTCAGTCCTTGATTAGAACAAAAACTGGCAGGGCTCATAAATAGCACGTCCATTGTCGTGGCCTTCATTACAGGTCACTACTGTGTAAGACTTTATAACATCTCAATTGCACAATAATGTCGATGTGAATATTTACTTCTGGATAATGTATAAGGGAATTATTATTTCAATTGATCGCACGCAGTTACATTTCAGTTCAGAATGATTTGTTTAAAATAATATGCTCATGTGACAAAAGAAGCAATCGAAATATTCCATTTGTGTACCATTCCTGTTGACAAAGGGGTCTGCAGATTACCCAGCATAACTAGGACATTGTTTTAGCAAAGACACACTGCAGCGGAGGCAGAAATCTGAGAGGAGGATATTTCAAAGCCAAGCATTAAACTGACAACATGAAACAACAGCATGTATATCACCTTGCCATGGGCTGCAACAGCAGTCAAGTCACAAACACCTGGGACAGTTACGTCATCAATAATTGATGAAAACATCCCTGAGATGAGACAAACAATGTGTCTCAAGATCAACAGAATATACAATGCAAAATAAGCTTTTTACAGTCAACAAGAGTGGTTCACACTGGGAAGAGGTAAGGAAGATTTACATTTACTGGTAAACATTTACAATTAACCATCCTGCATCTGAATTTTCCATACCATAGTGTCAGAAAGAGACAGGGTTCACCTTGACTGTAGAGGACAACAGGAAGTGAACGGAAACAGTGACACTAACATTATCTTTTAATATATCTGCCCACAAGGGCTGTAAGAGTGTGAACAGCTGGCTGTTCTTCACACAGTGCCTTTAGAAGAATAGACAACATACAGCCAGTGTTAAAATGTCAAAATGACTAAATTATCTTGATCAGAATGTACAAAATATGTATCCTAAACCTTTCTGTACAAGTGTTGCAATTTGATTTCATCTTGACTCCACAAACTTGACATAAATGGCTCGTTTCAGCTTGATGAATGCCACATATTAATACAGCTGTTAATGCCATGTGCCATCGCAGAGCTGTATACTGAAAAGTTACAAGAAGAGAAACACATGCACAGGAAACAAACGTGTAAACTAAGTGTGTCTGTTTTTGTCCTCAGCTCTGTTTAACTTAATTCCTGTGGGTCTGAGAGTCGTGGCCATCCAATCAGTCAAGACTGGCCTCTACATTGCCATGAACGGAGAGGGTCATCTCTACTCCTCGGTGAGCGCACACACACACACAGGCATGCAGATCATTCTGTATGTGGGCACTCAAAAACCAGCAATTTGTTCATGTTTTTTGACATGTAGTGGGACACTTGTGCAGTGGGCTCCTACTGAGGGGAATCATCTTTCTTTTTGAAAAACTGTCACTTTATGTACATTATAATTTATGTGTTGTTCATCTAGATCCCATCTGTGTTAGCTCTTTCTGGGATTTCAGTTGTGGACAAATGGAAAGGTCACTTTGTTTGCACATATTCCTAGTCATTTATAAGGCCTTTGTCCATAAGTGTAAGGAAAAACATGGGGCTGACAGTGAGTGATTCATGAAGGAAGTTTGTTAAACTGTAATTAAAGAAGTGAAATTGTTTTAATTTGTAACTTTCTTTGCTTTCAAAAATAGTTTGCGAAGTAGAGGTAGATTGTAAGGTGTGCATGGGCAGTTATTTTCAACGGTTTTCACCTTCATTTGATCTATAAATGTGAGTAAATAGTGAAAAATGTCCATCTGAAATTTCCGGGGCCAGTTTATTAGGGCTGTACCTGACTAAGGATTTTGTCAGTTGACTGTCAGTCAGCTGTTCAGTGTGACTATTTGACTATTCATTCTTTTTCTTCTTTCTTTTTTAAATATATATGTACAGCCTAGACTGTCAGAAAATCAACTGGCATGAATTTCTCTAATGATTTCGGCCACAGTAAGATTGGTATTTAAATGCAGATTATTGACGGGAACATATTTCTGAGCATTTAAAAATCAGTAAAAGGCAGCTGCATATGATGCAATAGTTAAACTGTGACCTATTTAAATTGACAATATATAACGTCAGGCTGCCATACAGATTTGTTGGAATAATGAGACGGGCAGCACACTTGTATTTCTGTTGAAACAGTGCTCTGAGACATGGTTATAGCCTAGTTGGTCAACAAGTTGAAGGTTCTCACGTCAGTTAACCACAGCGCATGTTGCTAAGGTGCATTTGATGTGTCCCAGCTTACCCTGGGAACGATTCCTCTTTTTTATAATTCCTCATTGAAATGTTTTCCTCATGCATTTTTGTTAGCTTCTTAAACCGCTGTTCGTTGCACTTTAACCGGACACACATAACATTATGAAAAACCAGCCACATGGATAAATGGATCTTTGGCTGGTTAATGTGACAAACGTTAAACAGATTTAAGATTTTATTTTCTCAGTATGCTGGCTCAGAAGCACCACTGGGTGATTTTAGTACAACTCCTCTCAGACCATTACATCCACTGTATTGAGGGGCCTGGGTCTGTGCAGATCTGTCTTCTGCTCTGTGTGAAGGACAGAGGTATATCAAGGCAGAATGGAACAGCTGAAGACAAATTTCACTTACATTTAGACTTCAGTTTAAAAGAGAATATAAAAGACAAGTTAAATAAAATGTAAATCTTTCATGTATGTCATGCTACATTGTTAGGAAGCTGCAGCTGATAAATCTTTTGAGAAAAAACTAGAAGCCTTGATAGAGTTAAAATTATGAAGTTTCTTTTTAGTTCATATGAAAAGCCTGGCTGAGGTTTTTACTTAGGAGAGGTTGTGTGTGTGTGTGTGTCAAAGGACAGGAAAGCCTCAGCCTATGAAAGATCTTAACTTTGAGGTTTTGTGGTACAGAAGATTGCAGGCAGGTTTCTTAGAGTGAAGGAGATGGGAAGAGATAACTGTTTGTTGTGTCTTCCTTAAATGTCTTTCCTCCCTGAACATAAAAGATTTAGAAGAAGAAATCATAACAGTGATAGTAAGTTGCAAATAAAATTGGTAAAATAAAATATTTAAAGCTAAATTGACATGAGAAGGACATAGAGTAGAATATGGGAAGCAAAAAGAAGGAAGTGCTGAAGAGGGAAGTGAAGTAGGTAGTAGAATATGAATAATTTCCGTGCTGGCTCTTCAGAGAGTTCACACTCTTCCACTGACATCTCTTCTCCCTGACAGCATCCCTCTTTCCTCCTCTTCATTTCGGAGGTACCAGGAGCCAGAGAGGAGGTGATAGAGTGAAGAAATGAGAGAATAGGCATGGATGGAATAGGAAAGACAGAGGTGAGAGGGATAAAGGTGAGGACACATCATGAAAAGGAGGAGAGACTGGGCAAAAGAAAGGAGCCGAGAAAGAAATGAGTCAAGGGCAATGAGAGGACAAAGATGACAGAAGAGGAGAAGATGGAGATGAAAGAAGTAGCGGTTGGTACAGACAGAGGAAAACAGCTGAAGAAAGGAGATGAAGAAAATCAAGTGGAAGAAGGAAAAAGATGGGAGATGAAAGAAGGAAACAGTTGTAGACAGAGGAGGGAAAGGGGTTGTAGACAGAAAAAGAAAAGGTGGAGAGAAAGGGCAAAGCATGGAGAGGAAGGAAGGTCATGTTTCAGACAAAGGGAAGAGAGGAAGAGGAAGGAGTGATCGGGGAGGAAAAAGGGAGATCTGTGCTGCTAGGTTTCCTTAGTCTCTCGCTGAAAATCACAGATGCATGAGGGCTTCCTGTAAATAATTGAAGAGGGGGAGTCCCCCCCCACATACACACACACACTGTAGAAATCCCCTCTAAAGCTGCGCAGAGGGAAATTGAGGATGTTTGATCATGCTCCAGCTCTGTGACTGATGTGCAGGCAGCTACAGTGCATGATAGCAGATGTATAAATTACACAGAGTAGGTCTAATTTACAGCATGATGTCGGCGCTGGTTTGATTGGCTGCTGCAAAGATCCAGGAAGGTGTAGGGTGTTGCAGTATGTGTTAAGGATGGTGCCACTGTGCCTGAGGAGACAGTCATTAAACATTACATTGGGTGTGATCACAGCTTCTTTTGAACAAGAGCAGTGACGTTTACCTTTATGTATTTTTGTAGCTAGTTAGTTCAGGCTCACACTGGCTGGACGCAGTTTGGATAATCTTTCATCCTGCCAGGTTAGTTGTTGTGGAGGTGTCAGCAAGTCGATACAAATCAGATTCTAGTTCCTCTACTGTAATGTAATCTAAACACGACACTCTTGGTTATAACACTTCAAGATAGATCTGAGCATTTTGCCCTTAGAACACAGATTATGTTACAATATGCTGGGCTGCAAATATTAATGCATCTCCTTGTAGCTTTCTCTTGCAGTTTTGGTTTGGATTATATTCATTCCTGTGCTGGGATTTGATGGCAGTTCAAGCCTTCTCAGCTATTTAAATGACCTGAACTAAAGGACCACGTACTGTGTGATTACAAACAAATAGCCTGACATTCAATAAACATGCATAGTTTAGAAAAACCTTTTAAACACTTTTTTGTGTAATTATAATGAGAACATGATGTACTGAGTTTGAACGAAAAGGTGATGAGTAATTTGTTGGGCAAATGCGTAACTGTTCTCATTTAGAGAAATTATGGCTCACATTTCAGAATTTTGAATAACAAGGAATCTTAACAAACTGACACAGTATGAGATGTTAAATAGTTTGGAGTATATTAAGGCTGCAGCTAACATTTTTTAAGAGGATATTTCATTTATCCTGTAAGATGTCAGAGAAAAGTTGGGCAGTTTTTAAACCTAAGGACATTCAGTAAAATGAAACCTAAAAAGCAGCCAGTTCTCACTACTGGAACCAGCAACTGTTATTCAAACTCTTGTTTTACAACTGGAAAACATACACATATATGAAGATTTCTTTAGGAGAAACACAGTAATGGTCATATATCTCTTGTATCTTACATGCTTTTATCAAGATCATTGTCTAATTATTATTGTGATATTTATTGTAATATAGATTTGGCCCTTTCCTTGTATGGTGGCTTCTCCATGCAGAGCCAGTTACGTTTTAGCATAATTTAAGATGCTCTTCTTTCAGTGACATGCTTCATCCTCTTTACAAACTTAGTTATACATGGTAGGACCATCTTATTAGTCCCAGATCCCAAGCATCTGGCAGTGTGTGGTTGTGCATGTTATGTACATGTGATGAGTGTGTGCAACTAACAGATGGCACAGTGTGCAATGAGCTGCTATGTGATAATTATGGAGCATGCTGAGGAAAGTGCTGATGAGTTTGGAACTGTGTGTGTTTGTGTGTGAATGAGACTAGGAGTGATGAGAGTGTGTATAATACACACGTCGGTATGTTGTGTTTGTGTGTGAATGTGTCAGCCTCGTCGGGTAGGTGTATGTGTCAGCTGAGAGGTGATGAAGGAAGTTGACTTTTCCAGTAAAATCACTGCATGTTTCTTGTAAAACAACACTATTACTGCTACTTCTACTACTGCTCTAAGAATATGAAGAAAAGACTTTTATATCAGGGTGGAAATTACATACATGAACCTTATTTTAAAAAATTTCAGTTGAGAATAACTGCAGAACCTTAATTCTCCTAAAAGAAGAACATTTGACACATTTACTTTTAGAAGATTCAGTCTAATGAGTTCAACAGTGTCTATATCGGTGTGTGGTCATGAGACTTGTCTAGATCATGTACAGCATTTTTAAAATCTGAATTGTGCTGACTGTTCAGCCAACAGGATTATGTATTCCTCCTTGCCAGTTCCTGTGAGTCAGACAGTCGGAGCCCCAGTCAGTCTGCTCCTGAGAGCCCAAACACAATCAGTTCAACTCTACCCTCCATCCATTGCCTTCATCCTCTTGTTGCTCCTCGTTTTTACCTCCTGCACTTTAAGTCCACATTTTGTCAAGTCACAGAAAAATCTAAAAGAAGTGCCTGTGGTCAAATCTGGTCCTCCACTAAATCTAAAATTATTCCCCTAAGGAAACCAAAAACGATACTTTACTTTATAACACTGGGCTTCAGAAATGCAGCAATCTGAAACCTACTCAAATTCTAAATTTAGTGAATGTTCATGTAATAATTATCACCTCCATGTGGAGAGCCATCTGAGACTCTGTTGACAGCTTCTGGTGCTGAAATGAGGTCTAGTGAACCAGCAAATGAATAAGAAACAAAGTTAAATTTTATTCATCACTATTATTTAACCAGTAGAAACA